TCAGGAGTCCAAGGGCACCAATTCCACACATTTAAGTTCACGTAAAAGCAACTAGAAAGACTGTCAGGCACATTAGTTTGAGGACAACCACGAAACCATTAAGTTTCTGTAAAAAGACTTTCTGAAAAACAACGCTACTTTAGGTTCAACATATTACCTGGTGAACTTCCCAAATGCAACAGCAATTTCATATAATGCTCTGACATTTCAACCAGTATTTATGGCATATTAACACTAACACCTCTCATCCAAGAATCTTATTTTACTTTACAAGTATTAGCTGTGTCACAAATAGTTCATTCATCCTTTAAATGCAAACGTTCAGCAAAAAGAGATTTGGTTACCTATCACAGGACACACTTATTTAACTGAAGAGTCAGGCAGCATCACAACTGTGGAGAGATTCAGAGGTCAGGACTGGACATCGTTCCTAAGCACCTACTCTTAACATCACAAGCCATTTTAGTAAGCGTTTTGCATGGGTGTCAGACCTGTGCTGAGCCACCTAGGGTAAGAGCAAAAACCACCGTGTTTTTGCATGAGCAGGTACCTTGAGGTGCCGCTCCACATGGCAGCTTAGGCTGGCGAAAGCTGCAGTTGCCAGGATAAACCCTTCACTTTTCTTCTTCGCAGTGCATTCCCTGTCGTCCTTTCCTGTGCCAACACTGACACAGTTCAAGGACCTGAGCAAGCAGAAAACGCAGCCAGCAGAAAATACTTGGCTAAATCAGCTCCCTCAAATTAGATTACTGTCAGGAAAATGAGCAATGCTGCCGGAGCAAGGAAAGCATCCTGGGCTGCGGAAGAGGAAGAAATGGCATCACAGCACAGCTGGCTTAGATCTGCATAGACTGACATGGAGTTGAACCCTCGACACCTTTTCCATGAGGATGTAGTGGGGTAAATTGAATACTAAGACTGCTGAACTCCACTGTCCTTCCCCTGCTCACCTGCGTGCCTAAGAGGACCGATAATTTTTGCAATTAATTCACTTACAAAATCACAGAGTGGCTCAGCTTACAGCAGCAGAGCCGTGAAATATATCTCCAAGTGCTCTAGCAGTACTCCCGGAGAAGTACGGCATAGCAAACACAATTTAAGTGCAGCTTTTCAGCACCGCTCACGCTGCTGGCCACCAGACACAGCTGTATACTGCAGAACTACTCCATCTCCCTGCTCAAATCCCGCACTCGCGTGTCATTCCTCTTTATAAGGAAGGATATGTCACAGCCTCCAGACGGAGGAGCACTGCATGCAAAGAGAGAGGCTTTCTCGATCGACAGTTTCTGGTATCTCCAGCTCTGCAGCAGCAGAACAGTAGTGTGAAGGCAGAGAGTAGGCTTCAATTTCTCTTGTCCCAGTTTCCTTATGGTGTTTCAACAATGTTTAGGCTGCTAAATCACACCATTTTGGAAGACACCCGAAAGCATTAGAAGACCCCAAAAAAGGAAAGTAATAATTGTCAGTGTCTTCTCGGTAGATAGACCACCAGACAGCCTGCATACTTGTGCTGCTAAAGATACAATATATGTCCCAGAGCATATATGTGATTTTTCCTCTCTTTTGTAGAAGCAAGAAAATAGATACAGACCACTGTCAAAAAATTGAGATCCATCAACTCCAAATACTACTACTACAAAAGGAGAAAAGATCCTTTCCTTGGAGGCAAATAGCACCAGGCTAAGCTGATAACAGGATTCTGAGTACACATGGAGATGTCTTTGGCATTTTCTCCAGCAGCCGGCTACTGCACTGAGACAAAATAGCTGACAGGGTGATCATCCTATCACTAGAAAGGTGACATGTCTGAAGAAGCTGAGTGAACACTGGTATTATTCAGCAGGGACAGATGCCTCTCTCTCATCATGGTATCGAAAGACAGTGCTAAAAAAAGGTGAATGAAGTGCTATAGGTAACAGCAAGGAAGATCCATCACACCAAGTATGAGTGACTGCTATAGCACGTCCACCAGCTGCCGGTCCCCCAACACTAATACAACAGGACAGAAAAGCCCTTATCTGGGCTAAGGAGATTTGGCCTAGACTGAAAAAGTTAAACAACACAGAAAGACTATGCTGCACCCAAAACCTCCTGCTTTTTTCCCAAGCGTGTACACCACTGTGCCTTTCACACAGCATAGCCTTCATAATTTGGGATGGGATATGCAGCGTATACATTGAATTGTGCCAGAAAAACTCAAATTCCTTCATTGCATTGTCCTGAAGCAACTATTCATGTCAGTACATCGCTAACTGCCGTTGTAACACAGCTCACAGTTCTCTCCAGCCGAGTACTTGGTCCTACAGTAATTACGCTCTTCAGAAGGATATTCCACCCACTCCTACACTGAAGAGCTAAATTAGCTCCATGCACAAAATGCCAAGTTAAAATTTAAACAAGTTTCAAATCTCTCCTCTTGGTACGGCAATACAGCTACAGGCTCCGGTACAAGTAAATAACCTCAAACTGTGTTTTCCTGAACAAGGCTGCTCTAATATTTTGACAAACTGATTCGTTTGCTTCTTTGTTTTCTAGCACTCTGGTACCCAACTTTAAAAGGTCATTCTGTCTTCCGCCTGACGAGTTCAGTATTATTCTTCCTTTCTCAGAGAAGGTCAAAAATGTATAATATCTGCATGTTCAGTATCTAAACATTGCACAACACTGTGCCACCTATCTACTACACCACCACAGTGCTTGGTGCAGTTATTAGGAAGCATTCAGAAATCCAGCTACAAAAACAAGCTGCTGAAAACAACACTCTCACATTTCCCACAAAGGACAATTTCCAGCCCGCCATGAGCGCACATTATTACTTCCGTACAGAACTATAAAGAGATAACCTTGCTGTAACATACTTCACATGCAGAGATGCACAACGAACACATGCAAAAGATTATCCATGTGAAGTGCAGAGTCATGTGATATTGTTCTAGCATGATGAATAAGTTTCATTATTATGATCTGCAGGTATTGCATCGTTTCCCTGATGCACCCTGCCACGAACCCACTCCCTTCAAATTTTCATCCTCCCCCAACAGCAGGCACATTTAATTAAACACTTTTCAAACTGAGTTTTCTGCTCCCCCTGCCGCAAACATACAATCTCCTCTCAAAAAATTATCTTTATTCAGAAAAACAGGATAGAAATAATTTAAGTCTTGGGATCAAAGGTCTTCTTACACTGTAAGGTAAAAAAATTTTAATCCACTCCAATGAAACCAAAGTGCAAAAAAACCCACAAGGTTTTCAACAAAGAAATGGAAGATTTCCTCCTTTCCATGTCAGTCAATGCTCATCTCTTACCCTAAATCAGCAAGAGATTATGGATCTTAAAGTGCTGCTTTTATGCATTGTAAAAGCTCTTTTGGAAGCTTTTCTGACTCCCTCGGACACCCGTGCTGTCAGGCCAATAGCAACGAAACCTTTACAAGTGCGTTGTTACATTTTTCTTGGCATGCAATTTATAGAAAGCTTGGTCAAGTATTTTCTCCCCAACACGAAAAGCACATTCACTCTCTATATGTGCACACCTACGCATGCTTCTGTATAGAAGTTTTATCAATGTTGTTTTGGAATAGCGAGTATAACTCACTCCCAATTTCACCACTCACAAGGAATGAAACCACCACAAACTCTCACTGATAAGGGGGAATTACCAGCCTTGTCATTCTGCTTCACTGAAGATAAAATCTTGGAGGATTCTTAATCCCAAGGCTTTGTGCTCCTGGAGCAAAGTCTGCAGAACTCAAAGCTCTAAGTTTTTCTAGACCTCATGGATGACAATAAGATGGCTGGAGGTACCCCATGCCAAGCCCGTTCCTCATGTCCTTAAGTTTAATTCTTCCCTTTAACGGGGCCAGACAGCTTCAATTCTATGACATTCTTTTGTTTAGAAAACCCATCATTAACCTGTGGCTGGACATTCCCAATCACATTTTTGCAAGAACAATATTGAATCGAGGTGAAAATTTGTATCATGGAGAAAACTGATCATGATTTCTTTAATAAAAATATTAACTCCTCTAGAAAGACAAATAAGTGGATAAGGAGACAGTGGATGTGATCAAAGGCCCATACCTTACATTTACCATACCCAAGAAGTACCTAAATTCACAACCATGAACACAGTTTAGCTGTATTTGTGTAAGCAAAAAAACTGTATGCACCACTGCACAGCCAAACAAGCCTTTAGAGCAACAGCTAAATAGACCTGTGCCCTACAATGAAAAACTGTGTTAGAGTAGGAGGCAGAGAGCATTTTTCATGAACAGACCAGAGGTGGAATGACCATCATAAATCTTGCCACCTCTTGTAAATAATGCCAGGCTCATTTCTTTGAACTCGTCTATCAAATACTGGGTGAGGTCTACATCTGTGTACTACATATAAAGGCAATTCCAAAATAAATAAATAAATAAATAAATAAATCTAATGTGCCTGTGTTAGCCTCACAGCAAGAATGACAGAACAGACGTGTGACAGATGATATCACTGCTGCTTGTGAGAGTCTGAGATACTAAGGTGATAAGCATGGTACCAGAATAAAGCCTAAGCAAGGTACAGCTTTAGTACGCCGCAGTTAAGAATAAGCATCAAATAAGAATTCCTTGAAAACATGCTGGCAGCAAGTGTCTCAGCTGACTATAACCAAGTCATAATGACAAGAGAAGACAAGCGATTAGAGCTGTGACACTTTATAAGACAGGCATGACATGGTAACACAGAACAAAAATGTCACTGTTTGAAAGCTTCTGATAAATCACTTGGTAGGCAAAAGGAATCAACCTTTCCATACACCATAAGGATGAACCCACTGAAATTTTTTTGCTGATATTTAAGCGCTCTAGAGTTTAAAAATCTGTTATAAATGCGGCCACTTACCATAAATCAAGACAAATTCCAGCACAGCTGTCTCCTGAGTATGACAGGTATTCTCTGGTATTCTGGTTATAAAAGCTGTTCCAAGCTGAAAATGTGCCCACCTGAAGGACTCTTACCTGTAAGACATCTTGGATCTTCACCCACACATCAACCATGTCATAGAGTTTGATATCACCATCATACTGGCTGCAAGGAGAGACCACTGTTTGCTGAAGATGTCCAAGGACGACAGAGTGCGCAGCAGCCACAGCGTTGAATTTGTCAAAGAGAAGCTCTAGCAGCTCCAGCAGTAACCTGTAAACCATCAAGACAACCTCCACTCAGTCTCCAGAAGACACCATAGGTACACCATCATGCAGCACATCAGAGCAGCGGGCCAGAAGGCAGAAGTCCGTGACTTCATACCCTATTTTGTGACAGATGCTGTGTGCAAGCAGGGAGGTCACCTAGCTTCAAACCCTCTCTGGGCTTCAGGCGACTAACTTCAGTTGTCAGCAGCTCAGGTTTGGTACCTAAATACTTCTGAGGATCTTCCTTTTCATTCCCTCCTCTATTCGAGAGTTGCCCATCTTTAATGTGTTCTACTTGCGGATATAGGAAAGACAAATGCATTAGTAATTACACAGTAACTATACTTCAGTACCATGATATTAGAGAACATTTTAAGCTCCCAGAGCTGCAGACAGGGAGGGAGACTACCTGCTTTTTCTCCAGAAGTAAGAGTGTAAATTCAATAAAAATTGACTTACCCATACAAATAGAATACAAGATACTTATTTTGAATTATGAAATGAGTAGTAAGGATGATTTTGAACAACACAAAAGATCAGAAACCTAAAACATCAAGCCTCATCAACTGTGTCAGTTATCAAGATTCTACAACTATATGGAAGGTGCTACAGCTATAACCTCATCTAAATGTACTACACTTTACCGCTTCCTTACCACCCAATTATTGTAATTAACGTAGCTATGCAAAGTCCTAAATATTTTGTGGTAAGACAAAAATGTGACTCATCACATTTTTTACTATTTGGGAAAAGAAAAGTTCTGATCATGTTCACTGCAGCTTAATGAGCAATTCAAGTACACATGTAGCCCCAACAAAATGTGAAGATAACACTTCCCAAATCCATATGTTAGGCACTTTCTAGCTCTGACAGACAGTCTCCATCACATTTAACTGCAGCAGCTTAGGAGTTAGCACATGCTTTCTGTGTCTACCCATCAGAAGCTGCTATCGCCAGAGCAGGACAGATCTGCAGCAGAATCAGAGCTGCACCCGTTCCTTAACCAACACACTTCAGTCTTCTGTGTTAGTTAACAATCACTAATAAGGCATGCGTTCATGCCTCCACCACTTCATTTCAGAGTGCTGACTATCTGCATGCATCCACTTTCATCAGCTGTTTAAGCCAGCAGCTGGATAGTTAACTGGAGTAATTAAGAAGCTGTTGCACATTTGCTGCTGTTACCACTAGACAGTAAGAGTGGCCCGGCATGACGTTGTGGCTAAAACACCTACCTTAGCCTACAGTAATCCTAGACTGAATTTCTAGTCTGCAAAGTATAAAAGGTGGCCATTGTTTAAAAAAAAAAAAAAAATCATGAGCTTACTGTGTCTCATTCATATACTACAATTTTACATATATAGATATATATGCACAGCATTATACAGCAATCTCTTGGGGATCTCATATGGGCCATACACCTACCAATGATGTCAACTACACAGCTCAAATGGTTAAGCAGAAGAGCACCTTGATTCAATAGAAAGAGCCACTAGATACGTCTGGGAGGGTACAGTGAGACATAGCAGAACAGCTCAAGTGGCCAGATGTATGTCATATTAAAAATAGAGATGTGTTTAGGAGAAGCAAAACAAAAGAAACTGGTGCGTATATCGATTTTCTTCATATTTAAGAATAGCAACAAATGCCTAAAGAAAAGTGTTGTTGGTACTAAGAGAAAAAACACTGCTTTTTTACAGGTCTTCACAAATTTAAGTATGACAGACGCTGGCAGGGGATAAATAGAAGTATACAGGATGTGATGGTAAAGACAGCACCAGAAAAGACAGCTATTATCAATATTAACAGTATTACATTTTCAATATGGGAAAGCCCAGTGTGGAAGAAAAGCCATTCTCCTCCCTTTAGGCTTTGTATAAAGCTTAATAACTACCCTGTCCAAGTGAAACTGAGAAGTTGCTACTGTGGAAAGACCTATACATCTTCCTCCTTCCCTAACTACTGTTAGCCCATCACCAATGTTACCAGTGAAGGAGACAGGACAATATGCAGATAAGGCTGCCTGAAAAACACCCTCCATCGCTGTTAAGCAAGTATCTTCTCCAACTCACCTGAAGACATGGGAGAGGCAACTATTGCTTTAACAGTCCCTAAGAGAAATATAGAACTTCTCATAACAAGTGACCGAGAGGCAGCTGGGGCAAGTGGCTGGTCAGCCAGAAGCCAGACAAAAACAGCAGGAAAACCAGATGTAAAAGAATTGTAGAAATGTAGAAGACAAGGAATTTCATGTTGGAGGAACTTACATACAGCCTTGGTTGAAATGCCAAAAAAGATAACAGTATGGGAGCAAATTAATTATATACCACCGAGAAAATTTATCAGTGCAAGCCCATCTTCCACTAACATCCCATTACAAATCCATTACAAATTTCATTACAAATGAAAATTTAGTTATCTGTATACCTCCTTGTTGCCCCAGGAAAGTACGATTTTGCAGAACGAAACTCACCGGATAGTTTGACAAATTCATTTTTATTGTCCCTAGGTGAGCCTGACCTCACATTACCAACTTGTTTATGGAGCCACTATTAAAATAATATTATATTGAACAGAATTACTTGGTTTTAAATTCCAATGTTTTCCTATTCTCGTGTTGCAGACTGATAGACATGAAGTCTCCCTGATCCACGTTCTTTGGTGGCGCTAGCTACCACCCCATTACATTTTCCATTCTCAACTAATGTCATATTTCCACATCTCCCTAGTTTCAAATTAGCCAGCATCTCTTAACTTCATTTTCTTTTCTCTAAAAGTCTTCTAAATCTGTCAGGTCATTTTTGAAACAAGGTGACCCAAAAGAGACACAAACACATTCCGTGTCAGCCAACAAGACAAAACAGCATAAAATAATATGGCCTAGATTTTATGCATATGGGGTTGCAGCACCAAGTGACCTAAGCAGAACACATACAGAGAATGACAGGAGACTGGCTTAGGCAATTTGTCAAAGCAATCTCATAACCCCTTCACCGAGAAATATGGTAAATATATTGAGAGACAGTGACACACACCCGCAAGCAACTCCTATTGTCCGGGTAATAACAGAGAATGAATTGATGCAGAGTGACTGCTGACACCTGAATGAGGTCGCTAATGACAATTCGTACATTTTAGCAGCAATAATGTCCTTTGCCTGGTCAGAGTGTTGGTGTGTATATAATTTCTGTATTTATTTTAAAGCCCTGAGACGAGGTGAAAAGCTAGAAGTGTAGAATGAACAAGTGCATTGAATCCAATCGACAGGATTTAGTAGCAAAATTGTCAATACACCTCCTCTTCCTGGACTGGATTTTCAACTAAAAGTAAAGCTATGGCAATGTATCCCTACCAAAATCTCCTCCCACAAATCTGGCCCTCAAGTAGGCATATGTCCAGATTATTATTCTTCTAAATTCAACAACCTTCCATAATTCAGAAGAGACCCACAGATTCATTAAGATATAGCAGTACTCCAAAACAACGTAACATGGCCTCTTCCACAATACCTTGTCCTCCACAACCCAAGATATATATTTCTAAACGTGCAGGTACTAAGCATGCTCTAATGAGCCCCTCATTAAGAATAAGTCAATGGCAATTCCTACATTCAAGCCCTTTTTCATAAACTTGTTCCAAACACAGATACCATCCCTGGAAGTATTTAAAAGACGTGTAGATGAGGCGCTTAGGGACATGGTTTAGTGGGCATGGTGGTGTTGGGTTAACGGTTGGACTTGATGATCTTAGAGGTCTTTTCCAACCTTAATGATTCTATGATTCTATGATATCTAAAAATTTACCTAGACTTTAAAAAAGGCCACTTAAATTAAAGCCAAGGTCAGCTGCAACTAGGTGAGATTCAAGCATAGTTTTCAAAATTATCTTCCACCAGTAACAGGGAACTACTACGAACCTATTGCTGCCCTTTACCAGGTTTTACTATCTCCATATCATTCACATTTCATGAGGGTAAGCACACATTAGTAAAGAGGGGTTATATTCATAGCGAAGTATCTGACAGCCAAAGATGTTCCATCTAGTTAGGCCTATTCTAAGTCCGTTATCCTACATGACTGCATCCATGTTGCATGTTTTAGGAAACCTAAAAAACAGTTGTATTACAGAGCCATGCAAGTCTTTTCTTTGTGACCCCACTGGCGAAAAACATCCTTCTGCCGTTATATGGAGGTACTTAGCCAGGCTAGTGTCATCTTCAGTAAATGAGCCCCTCCAATTTCACACCAACTCTCTATTCAGCTAGACTGAGTGCTCAAATCAAAGGACAATACACCCATGACAGAATGGGCCACACATTATCAACATTATAATCACTGCTCACTCTCGTGTACGTGCTAATTAACAAAACACCTCGTATAGCATGGACAAGACTTGCTCCTGGCAGGCTTAGAGGGACTACAGGACTTCCAAGTAAGAAAACAGACTTCATGAAGCTCTGAAGAGCTGACCCAAGAGCCCACTGCCTGTTGGCTCTATGAAGAGAGCACCCGAGGGGCATAAAAGACATCATTACTCTCTGGGAGTTAGTTGCTTTACCATCAGAACAAAACAAAACAAAAAAAATTCTTGATCTTAAAAATTTGGGAGCAATTAATAGTGTTTTTATACACAAATTGATATGGAAAAGCTTACTAGGTAAGGAGGCAAAAGGTAGTCAAACTGGAAAAAAAAAAAAAAGAAGGAAAAAAAAAAAGATGACTGCAAGATTAGTGCCTGATCTGTTCAGACTCAAAAGACCGTTATCAGATCTGCCACTTTCCTGGCCAGGTTCTAGAAATTATTTCTCTCCTGTACAATGAGAGGGCTCTACATAATTGTTATATGGGGTCCCAAAAGGAATTACACCAGAACCTCCACAAGCAGATTATCAGCCTCATCCTCAAGTGGAGAGAAAAGCCATCCTTTTCATATGGAAAAAATAAGAGCCAACCTTTGAGAGCCACCACACAGCAATGAAAAAATGCATATAACTTATTCTGCACATACCGAACGAGCCGCAGGGAACTTGTCCAGCAGAAGGTTCAATCTATGTCCTCAGACCCTGCAGGCCTCTCTGTCATCTTAGTAGTCATTTTCTTTGCCAGAAGTGAAAATTTTTATAGATTCCATTTAAAGTACAGTAGCTGAATATGTGAGCTCAGCGATAGAGACTAGGAGGCATCGAAGTGTGACTAGTTTTAAGGTGAACTGAAAAACGTTTTACTCACTGAATCCTGAGGTCAAGTAAGCATCGTGGCTGACAGCCTAATGAATAGTTAAGCAGTTTCGGGCACTGCATCATACTCAAATTTGGGGTCTTACAGAGCTCTCCTGAAATAGGAGGACCTTGTTGTTATGATTTTTTTTTCTTGACAGCAGGAAAGTCGCTTAGTTTTGATTTAAAACTGTAGCTAATTTAAGGGGCGGTATGCCTTTCCATACTATAATTTATTCTTTTCAATATAAATGAAGTCACCTGCTTGCTGTAAACTTCACATGCGATTTAGGTTTGGAATCAGTCTAGTGATCTCCTTATTCAACATGAATTCTAGACACTTTCCATAGCTCTAGATTATAAGCATCTTAAAGGCTCACAAACTCCTATTAAACACATGCCAAAACCCATTAAACTTTTTTGTACCTTACCCAATCCTCTGGGCAGGTTAATGTCATTAGAATATGATCTGATCCAATTTATCAATTTCAAAGAACAACCAGTAGCCATACAACTTCAAGACTGATTCATAAAACAAGTATCAAGCATATGCTATGCTCCATCTTGGCATCAGAAACTAAAATTCTGCCTTCTGACCTACCCAAAAAGCTTGTTATAATTTCACCAAGTTATCAGTACCATAACTCTATGACTTCTTCAAAATACAATTGTTTCCACAGCAATGATAATGATAGGAATTAAAAAAGAAGTCTTTATCAAGCTAAAGTTTTTCTTAGGTGTGATTTTCCACTACAAATATTACATACAATGAAGACACACATTTTTGTTTTCATTTTTCTTTTCCACCATTAATTCCCTTTGGACAGTGTTCTTACAATGTGCAGTATCACAAATTAATACTTCAGCTAGAAGTGATAGCTAGCCCTTATGGAGTCCTATTTTCCAAAGAACAGTTCTAGTGAATCCTGAAGAAAGGCAGAAATATAGTTCTCAGTTGGCTTCCACACCTTGCCATTGATGTAAATGGGGCTGCAAACCAAGTAGAAACTTGGCCATATATTTACTGATATAATTAGTTCCATATATGATTTCAAAGCTTTGCACCTGCATCAGCTTAATTGGACTCTGCTACACGTTAAATAAATAACTGAGCTGAATCTTCTCTTTTCAAGCCATATTACGTAGGAACTTAAAAATCTCTTTGGCATCAGCACCAGTGTAAAGCCATGATTCAGTGCAACACAAGAAGATAGTATTTGTTTTGGCACCAAGTATTCTTTACACCATACATTCCAGCAATCTGAGACAGCATTACAATTCAATCTGTTGTAAAGCTGCTTAAAACGAAAGGTTAGGTTAAAAAAAAAAAAAAAAAAAATCAAGTGCTTAACATTATGCACCTCTTGCTAGTTAAATAATGCTGGCTTCTACTGTGCTTCCACCCTCAAATCTACATTTCAAACATCTGTTTAGCCAAAAGATTCTCTTCTAGGGCCAAGCGCAGAAGGAAGCATCTCCCTTTCCCACATCTTTAGCTGAGAAGCAACAATGCCTCCCCTTTCTGAATACACTTCTTAAATTCCCAAGCCTTTCAGGTGCTCAAGGCACATCAGTCTTTCAGTGAGACACAGGCATTTCTGAAAATCTTACCATTTCAGATCTCTGCTACTGCAAAAACACTATCGTCATTCCTTCAAATTGAAATTAACAGATATGACACCCTTCTCCAGACTTTTTTTTTTGCAGCAATCAAGGTTCAGTGGTTGAAATATCCTTACCTAGGCTGATTTTCCTGGGACAGATTCTCCCCTCTCTGGTAACCATTGTCTGCCACCTGGGTTGTGGACCGCTTAACAATCTGCTTGAGTTCTTGTTCCAAGCGATCCTGGATGGCTTTCACTGTTTCAGGGATTTTTTTCAGCTTGGCCAGCCCTTTGATGAGTATGCCCATGAAGACAGTGCTGTTCTCCTCTGGATCCAGTTCCATATCTTCTTTAATTTCCAGAAGGCTTGTTTCTCGCACTGGAATAGATTTAAAAAGGCATAATCCATTGGTACTACATAATAGTACCAATAGTTGGTACTATTAAAACCAACACTTAGTACCATGCAGAAGAAGCATTTTAACTCCTTTGCCTTCACAGAACTCCCACCACTTTGAGCAACCAAGGAATAAACAAGGAAACCAGCAACACTCAAGATTTTTGGGGGAAACAGTGGATATTTCTGTTTGCTTGGGGTGTTCCCTATACATAAACACAACAGCCTGCGCATTTGATTGATTGATTTAGAAACAGAGATCATGGTATAAGTTACATATTAGTTAGGAAACAGAGTAGGTCTGGTGCAATTAAGATATCCATAAATGAGGTATTGTATCACTACAAATCCCCCAAATGTGTTTCAAGGAGCTAAAAGCCCTAAATTTCTAACCCAGTTGTTTTTCTTTGCTATATTCTTCACAAGAGAGGAATTCTCATTATAAACACTATCAAGCTTAACAGACTTCTGATGAATTCGGCAAACTTTACACTGCCAAAGTGAATGTTTGTTTGATGTTATCCTATTCTGCTTTATTACATCTGTCAAGAGGTGATGAAGTTACTCAAATCTTTTAGCAAGGCTTCTAGAAAGGAAAAGCTAGAAGAATTAGAGAGGATACAGTCCTCCTGAAGTAACAGGGATTGCACAGGGAGAAATTCTGTTGCTAAGCGACAAGGAAGAGAAAGGCAAGAAGTACTATGCTTGTTTTAAGTATGTTCATTAATCAACATTTCTTAATTTACAGATAACACCAAGCAACAACAAAAGGATGTCCCTGCTAAAGACTGGGTGAAACATTTAATAAATATAATCAAACACTTATGTGAAGTAAGTGTCTTCAAGGCAAACTCAACTAAAGCATCTTGGAAGGTCTACAGTCATGTGGCTTGTTCACAGCCAGAGTGGCAGTACATGGACAAACTGAAGTACACGGCTGAAGCTGTGCCATCCACTATACCATATCCTTGCGTAGAAATTAAAACCTAACGGCTGTTTCGTTTTTCTGGTACTGAACTCTGATAAGGGCTGTTGGATGACAGATGACTCCTGTGGTTTCCACTGCTCAACAGATTTTATTTTTTTTTTTTTTTTACTTAAATCAAAACTTATCCAAGAACCTGAATAAATGTCAAAAGATCCACCAGAAGGATTTAAGTGACATGGCAGAAATGAAAAATGGCATGTCACAAGTAGTATGCAGCCCTGTAGCTGTCTAAAGCTGTGACACTCTGAACAGAAGAGCATCAGCACCGCGTAAGATCAAGAAAACAATGTCCCAAAGAGCCCATAAGGTGCCACTTTATAAATAGCATCACGATAAACAGATAACACTTATTTCAGTGTCAGCTTACACCAACCTCCACAACAGAGATTGCTTCTTTCTGTCTGTGTAATCCCAAACACAGGATTGCTAAAAAAAAACCCCTCTAGTTCAAACCAAACTCACCATTCACGTGCTCTTGCATTTCAACCTAGAGCACCAGCAACACTGCTAGGTAAGAGTGAGGTGAGAATGGATCCTGTGAGGTCATCACACCATCACAATGGAGGCTGACATCAGGTTTTATGCAATCAACATCAGGAGGATCAAATAGTGCTTTTTTACTCTCTCTCTCTCACATACTTTTTTTCAAACTAAAGCCTATTTAAACTTGTAATTTGGGCAAGTTATGGTGTTAGTTTAGACAAAACACCTAGAAACACCTAGATGCATTGATGTAAAAAAAAGAAAAAAAAAAGCAAGAATAATACAGGAGATACTTGAAACACACATAAGCAATAATACCAATTAGAAGTTAACAATCGGATGCACACATATTTCTGCTCAAAGCTCTCATCTATTGCACACCTTTCAACCCACAAGGCTGCAAAGCACTTCGTGCACTGCGTACATGGTCTACCCACTTTGTTAATGCTACTTGTTATTCTCAAAAAATCACAGCATGCCAGGCACTAGCAGAGAAAATGAGCTCTTTGGAACAAAAGCTGTGGAAAAGACAACCCTGGAAATGCTAGAGGAAGAAAGGTTTTAACTTACTGTTTAAAAAAAAAACCCCAAGTACCTTGTTGCTCTGAGTTTAATGCAAAGATTTCATAGCCTAAACAACCTTTTAGATGATAGGTCCCCGTCACTACGCTGCAGTCCCTTTGTAAGCAGGCTGTGAATTATTCTTAATATCACACAATGAAAACCCAAGAGGGAGGAAATACTGCTGTATCCAAATGTGACGATAGCATTTAAGGGGACTAAAGGCAGCAATCTTACTGAAAACTCTGCCAGCACATGAAGATGAACACACTTCCATTTTCAAAAGAGCAAGCCAGTTTTGAACACCCTCAAATAGTCAGAACATTGATTTACATCTCTTACAAACAACAGCAAAGTGAATAGTTCAATATCTAGTAGCAACACACTGGTATATAAGTTTTGTTAGATCTGGTCTTTTGATAAAACTGTAGGGACTGTGTTTCCTGCACATTCTGCCTATTAAATAGGTATCCTGGGTAGCTTTGGGGGCCCATTTATCTCTAAGATCTGACAGGATTCCAACCCTAGGCAACTGAAGATGTTCTTCTTTTCCTGTGTCTTCCTCACTTCAAACATCCTCTTCTGCCATTTAATGTCATCAAGGGGTTATTTGACCACAAGGCTTTGGCCCAGGAATCAGCCCCCCCTGTCCCCTACCTCTTCAAAAAAAGGCATCAAAGTAGACAGGCGTTTGTAAAGAAGTTCACCTTTAAAATTGCAATCCCACATGCTATTCTCTGTGGTCAGAGGAGCTCCACGGGTGAAGGAAGATGTCCCTACAGATCAGCTTTCAGAACTGAAACCTTCATCTGTATTTACTCTTAAACCAAGAATACGAATGACTTCGTTATTCATTTGTATCAAGACAAAAGCACAAGATTGTCAGAACCTATTCCTAGCTTTCTACATTCACCAGTTTCTACCTGAAATGCTTCTGTAAAACATGTGTCCCTTTAAAGGGGTAAGATCATCGTTCACACCATAAGCACTTGCTTTATGTAGAGAATCCATGAAAAATTAAATGATCCTATGGATGTCTGCAACAATTATTTTACAAATTATTCTAAATTGTGCTATTCAGATTTGATTTGATTAACCTCTTCTCCTTTGTGATTCATCAAACAAACAAAAAAAACCCAGTCCTATTTTATTTAAAAACAACTTCACTATATTCAAAAATAATACAGGTAGAAAACACCAAAGAAGAGGAGGCTGAGGGGAGACCTCATCACGCTCTACAACTACCTGAAAGGAGGTTGTAGCGAGGTGGGGGTTGGTCTCTTCTCCCACGTAATAGCGATAGGACGAGAGGAAATGGCCTCAAGTTGTGCCAGGGGAGGTTTAGACTGGACATTAGGAAAAACTTCTTTACTGAAAGAGTGGTCAGGCCTTGGAACAGGCTGCCCAGGGAAGTGGTGGAGTCATCATCCCTGGAAGTATTTAAAAGACGTGTAGATGAGGCGCTTAGGGACATAGTTTAGTGGGCATGGTGGTGTTGGGTTAACGGTTGGACTTGATGATCTTAGAGGTCTTTTCCAACCTTAATGATTCTATGATTCCATGATTTCTTCAGTAATACCAAGAAGTAAATTTCTCCACCCTCCTTGAGAGTATAGTAAGTGAAATGTGATGTCAGCAAATGAGTATTTTCAAATTTAAGTTACAGTTGCTCTTCTCCACCATAATGAAGCCTTTAAACTTCAGTTTGCAGTTTTATGCTAAAAAAACAGCTTCAACATACTGCTTTGTTGTCCCATCTCAGCTATCAACTCGTGTACATAGCCCCATTCAAACCAATAGAAATACTAGATTGCGTCAAGTCTTACTGAGGCTTTTCCAGATGAGTTTGACATATAGCTTGAAATGTTTTTAGCTAAACTGACCTCTTTGGAAACCTAAATTTCACCACCACTTAATGATTTCAAGTGGTTTTCACAGTTTAATTCCATTCAAAGACAACACCAAATCACAGAATCACACAAAATGGTTGAAGTTGGAAGGGACCTCGTCATCTGGTCCA